ATTATCCTCTGCTTGCTTGTCCTCCGCAGGGCTCGCCATTCACCCTGACGGTGAAAAGCAAGTTCCGCAAGCACCAAGGAGTGTTCCACTGCTGCACATTTTGCTCGAGTGGAGGGCAGAAAGCTGCTCGCTGCGCCTGTGGGGGGACCATGCCAGGTGAGCGTGCAGCTTTCCCTGTGCTGCTCACATCAGGAGGGTTTGTTTGTTTGGTCATTCCCCTTTTTTATGGAACCCTGGCAATTTTGGGTTTAAATACACATGTACCTCCCTTTCTTAGACAAGTCTTGGGGCTGAAGCACTTGCTTCATGGCGCGTTGGGATTTTCTGACCCCCTCTTGGTCAAGCTGATGGTGCCTTTTCTCTTGCAGGTGGCTACCAAGGCTGTGGCCATGGGCACAAAGGCCACCCTGGCTGTCCCCACTGGTCATGCTGTGGGCAAGTCACAAAGAGCTCGGAGTGTTTGGGGCCACCCAACGACAGCTCACAGAGGAGCTTGCTCAGGACGGTGGCACTCTGAGCAGCCAGGTGAGCCCCTGGGAGCTCAGGTCCTTCCTGGTGGATGAACGCAAGCCACAAAGATCCCCACAATCACTACAGAGCCTTGTTGCCAGAAAATACACAGTGCGACGGGTGTGAACTGAGGAATGGGATGAGGGAAAATAAAATCGTGCCTTTTGTTCCGCCTGGGGTTGTGTGTGCAAGGTTGTTTTGTGCCCGAACAGGAGCAAATTCCAGGAGTTGTACTGATGCCCGCACTTTTGAGGACTCAGGACCTGTGGGTTCAGCCTCTGAGGGGAAACTCGGTCTGAGCAGTTACCTCACAGGAGGGTCAAGGTGTACCTCATTCTGTGGGATCAGCAGTCTGCTGTCCTTCTCCAGAGGCCAAAGCTGCTTGTTGGGGCGCATTCCAGTCTTTGTGTTCGTGCTTGGGAGAGGCTTGGCAGCCTCAGCGCGGCCTCTGCCTCCCCCTCAGGTACCTGGCTGGGTTCTGGCCTCGAATGTGTGCATATAGCACAGTCGCACTCCTGGGATCTGTTGTGTTTGCAGCTCTCTTGTTTTCTCCAGGTGAGCTGTAGTCTCGTTACACTCTCCCTGCAAAGTAGGAGCAAGGCAGATCAGTAATTTAACTGAAAAATTCAAGAAAAACCCACGGCACTGATGAGCACAGGAACTAGAATGTAATTCACTTGGTCTGCGTGTTCTCCATGGAGGTGGTTTGGGACACAACATTGTTGGGGGTGATGTGGGATCCAGGAGAGCATCCATCTCTCCAAGGAAAGGTTTGAGGGCTCTGTAGGAGCCAGAGGTGCAAGCTCCCAGGTAGCTGTCCCAACCTTAGGGAAGAGCAGCATCAAGAGATGTATTTCAGCAGATCTGCTGGATTTGTCTTGGCAATGCTCTGATTTTAGGAGAGCTTGTTCCCTTGGACCCAGGGGAGGGAGAATGCATCTCCTGGGTTTGTGTGCATGCTGCTGACCCATAGCTGGCGAAGCAGCTTCTTTGAGGAGGAGGAAGAGGCAATTTCTTGTGAGGGCAACTGTAAGTGTGCAGATTGCTGCCTGCCACTTGCCCGGGTACCTTCCTGAACAAAACACGGTTGTGCCAATGACACCGGGAACACTGCTGCCCCGGGAGTAACCTCAGCCCCAGGTGCGTGTCGCTGGGGTCTCGTAGCACTGCCTGGGGAGCCGGGCTGGGGACAAAGGTCTGACTGTTGGTCACTGGGGAGAGGAATGCTGCTCTAGTGTCAACAGCGGGGGCTGGTTCTGGCTTTCTGAAGGATAATAGCCGGGTTGTTAAAGTAGAAATCTGTGCTGTCTGTTTGCTTGCTCAGGCCTAAAAGACTGATGTGTTGTTCTTCCCTCCTACAAAGCCAGTTTGGGAACCTCTTCCTCCCAGCACAGGAGACAGATAGCCTTATGCAAATGCTGGTTATAGCTGTCCATTAATCATCCAGAAAGGGCTGTCAGACAGGGCAAGGTTAGGCAGTTTAAGTCTCCAAGTTAGGCAATTTAAGCCTCCGAGCTGCTGACTCTGAAATTTCAAAGTGAAAGTTTAATTTGAGGCAATCTTTAATGGAACAAACCGTAACCCATTCTTGTCCTCGCTATGTGCTCAGAAACGGAAGATGTTGTAAAAAGAAATGTGGCGTTTTTTTCTGTGCCTTTCTATTTCTTGCCCTCCCACCCCTCCATGTGTGTCGGTTTTAATTGGAACTTCCCAGCTGTGTTACAGAGGGAAGGCATAAGCACAGCACTGCCTTCTCGGCACAAAAGTTCTGTCTAAAATATCACTGTCCTCTCCAACACAGAGGAGCGTGGAGCTGAGGAACGTGCTTTCATGTTATGCATCTCTTATACACCCTGGCGCTGATATTTTCCAAGAAGCTGATCGTGAGAATTACACCAGTGAACACAAAACCTTCAGGGAACTGCAGCCAAAAAAAAAAAAAAAAAAAGGAAAGGAAGTGATGAAGGTGAGGAGAAGCTTTCAGAGGCAGGAGGATGACTTAGTCTCCAGGCAGGGAAAACATGGGAGGGTAGCGGATCCTACTGTGGTGATTCTCACCCATTTCCAGCCCAGGGCAGCTCACCACCTCCCTGTTTTGAGGTGAGGACTTGCTCTGGCTGCTGCCTCTTCCACCTTCCCTTCAAGCTGAGGTGAGGCCAGGCACAGGCAGAGCTGATGAGGCAGCGCCAGGCTCTCCCTCCAGCCTCCAGGCTGGGTCCACCGGTGCATCCATCTGCAGTGCCCCTCAAGCACCTCTTGACACCATTGTTAGTGGTGCGGGACACGAGGCTAGAATGGTCTCCAACATTTTGGGCCAAATCCCAAGGATAGCTTTCATCTTTTTCAGCCTGCTGACCGCCTTCACCTCTCTTGAACGTTTCATCAAGTTCTGCTGCTTGTCAGCCGGCTGAAACTGCATCTTCTCCTGGTTCTTCTCCTTCACAGATACCTTCCCCAGCTTTCCAGTGACGTTGAAATAAGGCATGAACGTGCTGTGAGGGAACTCTCCTGGAACAATTATTACTTCTGGAGTTGTACCACGAAGGGCATGTCTGGTTCTTGTGCCCATGCCTCCTGCAGACCACTGAATGTCTTCTTGCCCTTCCCCCCTCCTTTATTATTATTATTTTTTTTCTTCCTGACCCACTTTCAGCCCTTCCTGCCCACACCGTTCCCTCATGCGGGCAAGAGGCAGCGTGTGATGTGGCCAGCCCTGGGGCCCAGCAAAACCAGTAACCCTTTGGGCCTTCTGCAGCCTCAGCCAAGGAAGCCAATGTCTCTTCTCCAGACGCTCACCAGCTTTCAGACCATGTGGGACCAGCTCCTGCCATCATGTCTGGTGGGATATCGCTAATAAATCCAGAAGTGGTAAGAGCTGAAAGGATTCTGTTACCACAGATCCTTATTTTTTTTTTATGTCAGGTATCCTTAATAGCTCATTTTTTACCTTACAAACATATGGAGAGGGGTAGTCTCCAGCCTGAGAACTACTCTGTAATTAACGTGATGTTACCCCGGGTGAATGGGACCTGCCCTGGTCCCCCCAGCGCTGCCTGTGCCCGAGCCAGACCTGTTTTTCCGAAGTGGCAGTAACCTGATCGTCGCCCCAGAGTTAACCAGTGCTGAAAGGGGACGCCTGGTTCACGCAGTGCACCAAGGGCAGCTGTAAATCAGGTGTCACCGAGGGCAAGAGGATGTTTCTTCAAGTTTATTTTCCACCAGATGGGATGGCCTAGAGCTATTCTTATCTTCTAGTAATGCCTTGCTAATCTGCGACAAGTTTGGTGATCAGCAGAATGCTACAAAATGAATCAGACTAAAAAGTGTTATTCCTTGCCAAAGCAGAGAGGAAGTGAAAACTGTATAAAGTCTGCATTTTAAGTTTAAACTATCGCAAACATCATGGGGCATAAGCGATTCTGAGATGTCCTTTCCTCAGTTCCATTCAGAGGCTGCACGATGAAGGACGAGCTTTCAGTAGCAGCCCGTCTTGGAGCATTAGGAGTAGACTTTGCAGCTAGTTTGGTTACTGATGAGTGTTAATATTATGCTGCATCTTTATCTGAACATCTAATGTTGTTTTTTTTTGGTGTTGGTGGTGATTGTTTTGTTGTTGGTTTTGGTTAGACTGGGTATAGGGCTTGACTGTTCCCAGTTCCTCCAGACATCATCATTTTTGCTAGCTCCCACCAACCACCGAAACTCACTGGAGATGTCAAAGGACTATCAAAAATTCCCCTTTAACCATCTTTCCTGGAAAGCAGTCCACACATAGATGATAAAATATGCAGGTTCCCTTTCGGGAAACCAAAGAGTGGTGAAAGCTGCCTTCCCTTCTCTTCTCTTCATAGTCTCTCTGCCCTTCTCAGCCTCTTATCCCCAGGAGTTACTCAGCCTAATCCCAGCCTCAAGTGAGACCAGACACTGAGGGAAAGGCTCGGAGAGTCTGCTCTAGTTTCTTTCCTTTGCATCCCCTCATGTCCACCGTAACAACTCTGAAAGCAGCAGGAGCTGGGTTCAGGGAAGAGAAGTAGGTTGGTCTGGAGGAGTCCAGCAGAAGAAAATATCAGTCAGAAAAGGGGCCATCGCCACACCGATCTGGTTCTTCTGAGCTCAGAGGAACCTCTTAGCACGGAGCAGAGAGGTAGAAGAAGCTGCATGTTGCAAATGGGGCCAGGAAGGGGACCCACAGGTGGGACCTGTCTGCACCCCACCAGTGATGGGTCAGCTGCGGATCTGTGTGGGAGACTGCTGCACTCTGACCTCAGGATCATCCAGCTACCAGACCATGGACTGTGTTATATTTTATTTTAAATCAAATTAAATGTTTCCTTATGGGTGGTGTAGGAGGTCTCCCCTGTTCCCCAGTGACTTTAACCAGTCAAAGGCATGGCGGGGGGAGCTGAGATGCTCCATGCTTCCTCATTCCTGAGAGTTCACTGCTTGCACTCACCACCCCTTAGCTGAGTTCAGTTATTTAAGCAGGACAGCCTGGAAAATGCATCATGCAAAGGGCAGGAGCTGTGCTGAACACTGCGTGGGTCCTTCAGGCACCTGGAGTTTGTTTTGTCTTCGTAGGTGCGGCGACCATGGCATCCCAAGGCCAGGTCATTTTCTGGAGGTATGGCATTATCTGCGTCTGCTTCGGGACGGAGAGGAGGGAGGGAACTGCATTTTCCAGACTCCTTGACTGCATCACTCTGCTGCCAGGAGCTTTCAAGAGTGCATTTCTTTGCAGCTTGACTATGTACTGCTACTGAAATACCAGAGTATTCACACCGTTGGGTGGGAAAAGATGAGTGCCTGCCCCTTGCTGCCCTGAGCGCAGTCCTCCAGCCCTGCCAGTGTCCCTTTTCTGCCCTGTGTGCAGCAGGTCACTGCAAGCAGCTGGCTCCTTCAAGGCCATTGCCTCCTCGGGCTCGTCTTGAACTGCAGAAATGGCCCAGGGAGGGAGGAGACTTTCTGGAAGCTTCAGAGGAGCAGTGGGAGGATTTTGTTGACTTCAGAGGGGAAAAAAAAAAAGAACGTGAAGAAAAAATATCACAAAATAGAAATGATGGGCTGAGAAACGTAGAGTTCTGCAATCATTAACTGCTCATGGGAACCCCAAATCCATCCTTTTTGGCTACCCCTCGTCCTCACTGCACTGCTCGTGCTGGGAGGGTGAGGGGGTGCAGCAATGTTCCCCTGGGCTCAGGCAGCTTGTGGAGCAGACAGCAGCCTGCTGCTCGCACGGGCCCCCAGTTTGATATTTGTCCCTGGCTGCCTGCTCTCAGGGTAGGTGGCAGCTGGCAATCGGTCCTGGGAGCTTGGCCACCCAAAGCCAAGAGCTGCAGCCCCCTGGTTATAAACGCAGCCTGGTGGAAACCAGGAGCAGGTGTGACACCCTCCTCTGTCCCCTGTTCCAGCCCGTCTTCCCCTTCTCCCATCCCTGCTGCTTCATGCAGGAGGGACTTACCCGCATGGTGCAATTCCCTCGAGCTCCTTATCAGCCCTGCCATCGTGGCGTCTGAGGAGATTCAGGCAAGATTTCAGGCAAGATTTCATAAGCAACTGAGGCAGGCTCATGGTAAGCGAGGGAGGAGCAGTGCAGTCTTACGCACACCACAGGCTCTCCTGCAGGAAGCTGCCAGATGCGTTGGGAAAGTTGTGTTCTCCTCCCGAGGCTCTGATGCAAAAGCCACTGCTCCCTCTGTGCATGGGGCATCCCAGATTCAGGCAGCTCACAGTTTCCAGACCACCTTGCCTCCACCTCCTGCCCACCAGCAGCTCTGCAGAAACACGCTGGGTGTGAGGGAGGTGAGCTGCATGGTAATGTTGTAATTTTTATTTTTTTCCCCCAAATAGCTTGACCATGGTCATTATCATCCTGGCTGTGGTGATCGCCCTGATCATCGGGTTTGGTGTCTCAGGTATGTGGCTGCTCAGATTTCTTGCTGGTGCCAGGGGCGATGAAATCCTGCCCTGGCACCTCCATCCCGAGCATGGGCTGAGGTGTGGCACTGTGTGGAAGTGCCAGCTACCAGCCTTTAATTAAGGCTTGATTTATAGCGATTGCGTGCAAGGCAATCGAATGAGGATTTCATGCTTGACTTCAGTTCTGACATTCCTTGGCAAAGTATCTCTCTGTGGCATTAAACCACATCCTGGCTCTTGCGTAGCCCTCCTAAAGTACAGAAGAAGGGAAAAGCTACAACACGTACCATTTCAGAAGCCACCTGCAAAGCATTGCTGGTCACACTTGAACCCAGCCTTGCCAGTGCTGTGGTGCTAACTCAGGGCATTGTCCTCTCCAAGAGGACAAGAGCCTGGGAGCTCTTGAATGGTCTAAATAATGTTGAGATTTATGCACACGGGCTGAAGAACGGCGCTTGGCACTCAGAGCTCGGTGAGGAAATCTTTCTTGGCTCTGAATTTCCGAGAAAACTTGTCACAGGCACGCATGAGCCCCGTCTGCTTGGGGGCAGCTCTGATTTTTCTCCAGGAAGTGAATTCTTGACCTGTGCTTTCGCAGTAGAATTACAGACAATTTATTCTTTTCTGTTGTGGTTTTGTTATCTTATAAAAGGGGGGGGGTCAGCGTGGAGCAGCCTGCGCTGCTGGAGGTTTGGTGCTGCGTTAGCTGGAATTGCTACCACCCTCCTTTCTCCTCGCAGGAAAGCGCTCCATCAGCGTCACCGCCTTGACGTCCCCGGGGAACATCGGCCAGAGCGGCCTCTTGGGCTGCACCTTCGAGCCCGACATCAGGATGGGCAGCATAGCCATTCGGTGGGCAAAGGCTGGAGTGGCCGGGCTGGTTCACGAGTTTCGAGGGGGGAAGGACCACCTGCAAGAGCAAGATGCGGAATTTCAGGGCCGCACGGCCGTGTTTGCGGAGCAGGTGATGGGTGGAAACGCTTCCCTGGAGCTGAGGGATGTGAAGCTGTCCGACGCCGGCACCTACAGGTGCTCCGTCACCACGTCCCGAGGGAGCGGGGTGGCAGAGCTGCAGTACCAGACAGGAGGTGAGGAAATGCTGCCCTGAGATTCAGAAAATAAACTCCTGCTGTGAAACGTAGGCTGGCGTGGCCCAGTCTGGCCACTAGAGCAGGTTGCCAGGAGAGGTTGTGGAGTCTTCCTCCTGGAGATCTTCAAAAGCCACCTGGACGTGGCCCTGGACAACCTGCTCTGGGTGGCCCTGCTTGAGCAGATTTTGGGGCCAGATGGCTTCCAGAGAGCCCTGCCAACCTCAGCCATGCTGTGGTTGTGTGACCTGCCTGAGGTTACTCAGATGCTGGAGCCGGTGTGAGCAGTGGCCACCACGAGGCCCTCCACACCTGGGTAGGACAGGGCTGATGGTGGTCATGAGGATCTCCTCCCTGAGATGCTGGTTTCACCAAACCTCGCCAAAGGAATTGCCCATGTCTCGGAGGGGGGAAAATCCCAGCTGAAGACTGCTTGTGAGGTTTGGAAACGTTAGTCTTGTGAAGTGCCAAACTCGGTTGTGTGGCTTTACCGTTTCCGTCATCCCATGGCGTGACACAAACTGAAAGCTGACACTATTTTTTTCCCACCTCCACGAAGTCCCAAAGGGCAGGAAGTGCTGCATGGCTTCGTCGAGCTTTTTGATCGTGTCCCAAACTTCTGAGTGTCCACAGCAGGAAAAATAATTACATGTAAGAGAATAGGATATTTTTTTCCTTTTCCAGAGGTGTTAATGGCCTTACTCTCTCTTTCCACATCCTTGTTTCAGAGAAATATTATTTTAGCACTTTTAGGCATTTGCTTTTTTTCTTACATTTCCCACACGTAGTCTACCGGCTACTTGACCGACTGCAAAAGCCTCTATTTTTAGAATGGGCATTGCCAAATGATTTTCCAAAGATCCGGATTTCAAGCCTGTTAAAGACAGAAGTTAACCTTTTCTTTCTAGACTTAAGTCTCCAGCCAGAACTGCTGCATGATAAAAATTCTAGCATATTCAGAATCTTTTCCTGTTTTTATAACTTATATATTAAAAAAAAAACAAACACCACCAACAAAAAAAAAGAAACTATCAAAGCAACAAAGTGCCCATATCATAGTTATATGAAATATTACATATTTGCCAGATTGAACCAACCTTAAAAAGTGCACTGACACAGCTGAATTTTCACTTCTGGGTGTTTAATTCTCCTAATACCTCTGGCCTTGGTCATCCCATTCCCTGCTGGCACAGAGCAACGTGCTTCCACTAAGCTCAGTGTTTTCACCTGTTTTTTGTTGCCTCTGGTTCTTTCTAGTGAGCTGGTGGTGAGTTACGCCAGCTACATGATGCAGACAACATGAGTCTGTTTCCTTTCTCTCCCTGTTTCCCTCCCCCAGCCTTCAGCACCCCAAATGTCCAGGTGGAGAACAGCAGCAGCGGGGACACGCTGCAGTGCGAAGCGCCGCGGTGGTTCCCTCGGCCCACCGTGCACTGGACAGCCTACAGCCACACGGGGAAGTGCCTGCCCCGGGCTGCCAACACCAGCTACGAGCTGAACGCCGAAAACATCACCCTGAAGGTGGTCTCCCTGCTGCATAACATTACCGCTAACGCCACCTACACCTGCGTGATTGAAAACAGCATCGCCAAGGCCACAGGCGACATCAAGGTGACAGGTAGGGTTTAACACCACCCAGAGACCACGTGCATGGCAGGGGGGGAGAAAAATGCATCCGTGTTTGCTGGGGGGGCTCCTGCAGCACTGACTCCCCTGTGTTGGTGAGAGGTTTTGGTAGAGGAAGGGAAGGCAGGGGATCACCGCTTGCTTTCCACTGCTGGATCCCAAATTGTAAAATGTGATCTGGCGGATTGGTCAATATTCCCTTATCCAGACAGGCAGATGCCCAAACCTACTGGATGTGTCCGTAGATTGCATTAAATCTGCCACTAAATCCAGGCACGTCTCTCTCTGGGGTAATGGAACTGGTCTGTGCTTGGTCCTGCTATGCCAGACCTTCTCCATGGTAACAATCGTTCCCTTGGCACGGGGACAGGACGGGCAGGGAACAGAAAGGAAGCATGGACACACTTCACAGGAATGCATTCCTTCGTATCTTAACAAAAGCCAAACAACCCCACTCAACTTTTGACATTTTCTTTGGCCAGTTCAGTTTAGATCCCTTTTATTTTTGTGACACACCAGGAGGCTGTTAGTTGGCACTGGTGACAATTTCTCCGACTGCAGCCCACTCCCTGTGTTTAGAAGTCCTTATTCAGAGGAAAGCAAACTTACCAAAAAAAGGCTTAGCTGGAATTTGTGGCATTCCACCAGTTGCAGTCATAGCTGAAGTGTTAATAGTAGCACAACTCAGGATTTAGCAAATGAACTAGATCTTTCCAAACTAGTTCAGGCATGTCTGCACCACACCAGTATCACTAGACCAATCGTTTTTCCTGGCATTGGACTCATTTGTTAGTTTGGTTCCTACAAGGAAAAATAAAATATCAGTGCTTCTCTAGAAACATTGGGATAGACTTCACAATGCTATCCGATCACTTTAACAATCAACTACTGCCACCTTCACAGGTATATTAAAAAAAGTAAGTAGTCACTTAGGTAAAATATCTATGCTTTAACAGCAGGACATTTACAGAGCAGAATCTGATCCATAAACTATGTGCAAACTGGGATCCTAGACCTTGGTTTGAAAGGGAATGTGCTGGGTTTAAGGATGTTATTCAGTTATTGGTCATCTACACCAGCCTAAATCTTCAACCTCTTATTTTAAGGCAAACCTGTGTAGGCAACACTTACCAAGAGCATGGATAGGATTTGTAGTACCACTCATTAATAAGACCATCAGACACTTAGTACTGGCAATATCATATTGCATACATGACTAAAACATTTGGATTTATATTTCCAAGCTACGTATCTGTGCTCTGTACTGATATTATCAGTCAGATGTCTCAGTCATTCTGAAGAATTAAGTAAATTATATATATAAATATAATTATAATTATATATTTAAATAATTAAATGTAGGAACACTGTACTGGAGGGAACCCTTTGGATACTTGACTTCAGCTTTGTTACCTCATGCACATATACCACAGAATCCTGAAAAAAATTAAAATCTATTTTTTCATCCTCTCTCCCACTAATTGGAAAACCATTCAGGCTGCTGTAAAATTGGTATTTGCAATCAGTTTTTAGTATCACAGGATATCCTGAATTGGAAGGGACCCACAAGGATCATTGAGTCCAACTGTTGGCTCCACACAGGACCACCCAAAAATCAAACCATATGTCTGAGAGCGTTGTCCAAACGCTTCTCGAGCTTGGATATCTTTTCCTATTGTACATGGAAAGGGTCATAGCTCTGCTGCAGCGAGGGCTTTATAGCAGCAAATTCCAGCAAAAGAGGCAGGGTCTCTCAGTATTCAGAAAAATGAGGAGGAAGAAATGCACTCAAGTTGCTTTTCTTCCGTGTTCTCCTTTCTGGTAGCCTCTCACTATTCTTCCGCTCCAGATTTCAGCATTACCAGAGGGACCAACCTGCAGCTGGTGAACCTGAATGCAGAGTCAGCGTCCTCCTCCCTTCCAGCCTGTCACTGGATGCTTCTGCTGCCCGCGTTCCTGCTGTCACTGTAAAACAGTTGGAAACGCTGCTGGACACAGGAGGTGAGCTTGGAAAGGGAAACCCATAGGCATAAATGCTTGGTATGACACATGGCAGCTCTTGCTGAGCTCTGTCACAGCAGCAGGCTTAACTCAAGCCTGGCAGAACAGGAGGACGTCTTCCTCCTGCCTACAGCTCAAAGTTAGGTGGGACACGTGGCTTGTCCCCACCATAGGCTCCCTGATGGCTTTTGTCATCGCTTTCTGCAACTCCAGATGTTCTGCTCTTACAGTGTCTACACCATCACTTATTCTTCCCTTCATTTTCCCTTTGTAATTCTATGATTTTATTTTCCTTCCCTCATCAACCCTCTCTTTGACCCTAAACATTGACTTCTGGCTTGCTGCTCTGAGCGCTCTCTGAGCCTCAAATACAGTTCATGGCTGCAAGGCCAGGTGCAAAAACAAAAAAAAAAGCACAGAGCAAATGCCTTCGGTATTGATTAGCATTGAAGCAAACTGGTGATGGAGAGCTACAAAAAAATAGCCATAAAATGATCATCTCTGTCCTTCCATGCAGTCATTACAGCTACCCTGACGCAGAACATGCTTCATGCTTTCCTCCCTCTTGGGGTGAGAAATTTTTAAGACCAGTTCCCAGTTCCAAGAGCATGGAGTGGCACAAAGCGAAGCCAGTTGATTTTTCCTTCGTATTTCTAACTCGTGCCAGCAACAGGATACTTTGGCTTCAGAACAAGACTGTGATAAGGACAGTTGCATAAATAAAGGAAAAACTGTGATCATGGGAACGAGATGTGTTCTCTTGTCTGAAGTAACACAGTGACCAGAGCTCCGATCGTGGACAGAGATAAACAGGAAAAGGGTTACCTGTAACGGGTCTGGGAAATGGCCCTTAAACCCAGAACACTAAAAGCAAGCAAATCAAAGAGCTTTATCTGTCTCATGTTTTGTGATTCTCTGAATATATTAATAAAACTGCAAGCCATCTATTTAATCTCCTCAGAAAACCATAATGAATCTCCTCTTCTGAAAAAGGCATTGTGAATGGCCAAACCCTGATGGATCAGAAAATACCTAACAGGCTAACTGGTGGATTAGAAAACAGCTAACACTGGAGTAAGCGTCAGGTTTTCAACCTCGCAAAGGTAAACAGCCTCTGAAGTCCTTTATTAGGACGGATGATTACATTTGTGACAGGAATTAAAAGAGGAGCAGGAGAGCAGTAATAGTGGGAGCAGACAGATGACTAAAAAAAACGAGGAGGAAAAGAGGGAGCACAATTTTACTGGAAAGTTCAAGTTCAGAAATAAACCCAGTTATTCAAGACAGTTAAGACTACATGTACGAATTTGCCTCTTTGTTTTTTAAAGTCTCTTATCTAGCACTTCCTATCTATTGCTGAAGCACCGTCTGTTACTACTTAATTTTACAGGATACTTTCAGTTGCACTTTTTGATCAGATTTTGATCTCTGCATCTTAGGTCCTTACAGTCAGTGTTTTCCTCAGGCTGAGATAAGCTTTGTTTTTGTTTGGTTTTGTTTTTCTTGGGGGGGAGAGGGGTGAGCTTCAGCAAAATCTTTTGCCGTTTCCCAGAAAGCATCTACAGGAGGTGGGGAAAAAAACAACAACTGTCAGAGCAAAACTTGTGCAGACCTTTGGTTTCAGCTGTTCTGCAGCCTCCTTTAGGATGGAGTCTCAGAACTTTGTTGAACGAACAGAGGCATTGGTCAGGTCACTCGTGCTTTGGTCTGGAAGCGCCCAGCAGGCCTTGAGAGTGAAGACAATTTATACATGCTCAATAAACCCATCACCTGGAGTTTAATTGTAAGGGAACACACGAAACCCAAAATAGAGTGGCTGTTCACGCATGCACTATGCACTGAGTAAGGTGGGGCAGTAACTGCGTGTAGGATTTACTAACCTGTAGCACAGGATGAAGGATCTGGCTGTTATTTTGCCAAAAACAAGGCAGAACCCTCAGCCATCACTGCAAGCAGGTATTGAGTGCTGATCTCCCTCCTGTGTGTCGTACCAGCTAGGCTGCCGTGCTGCTACAGATACAGGCACCACAGAATCACAGAATTTCTAGGTTGGAAGAGACCTCAAGATCATCGAGTCCAACCTCTAACCTAACACTAACAGTCCCCACTAAACCATATCCCTAAGCTCTACATCTAAACGTCTTTTGAAGACTTCCAGGGATGGTGACTCCACCACCTCCCTGGGCAGCCCGTTCCAGTGCCTAACAACCCTTTCAGTAAAGAAGTTCTTCCTAACATCCAGCCTAAAACTCCCCTGGCGCAACTTAAGCCCATTCCCCCTCGTCCTGTCACCAGGCACGTGGGAGAACAGGCCAACCCCCACCTCACTACAGCCTCCTTTAAGGTACCTGTAGAGAGCGATAAGGTCGCCCCTGAGCCTCCTCTTCTCTAGGCTGAACAAGCCCAGCTCCTTCAGCCGCTCCTCATAGGACTTGTTCTCCAGGCCCCTCACCAGCTTCGTCGCCCTTCTCTGGACCCGCTCAAGCACCTCGATGTCCTTCTTGTAGCGAGGGGCCCAAAACTGAACACAGTACTCGAGGTGCGGCCTCACCAGAGCCGAGTACAGGGGGACGATCACCTCCCTAGCCCTGCTGGTCACAGTGTTTCTGATACAAGCCAGGATGCCGTTGGCCTTCTTGGCCACCTGAGCACACTGCTGCCTCATATTCATCCGACTATCAACCATCACTCCCAGGTCCTTCTCTGCCTGGCAGCTCTCCAACCACCTACCACCTACCCTCCAACCACCTACCCTTGCTGTCATCCCCTTCCCAACCAGTGGCAGACAAACCTGTAGCGTGTTGTGAACTCGTACCAGAGCTCACTGCATCCTTCTTGTGACCAGCCCCAGGTAATGTTCAGGCCACTGTTTAAACTGTAAAACAATGCTTGTATAGTGCAGTGATTTAATGCCACCACTTAGTCTCCAAACAGTAATTTGTTCGTTTCCCTTTTCCTCTCGGAGGAAGGCAATCCTTTAAAATAATTTTAATCATTTCAGGCAGGTGAAGGAGAATTTCCCCTGTGGCAACTGCAGTTTCCCATGAAGATAGTGAATGATTTGCAAAAGTCCTGGCTCTGGCTCATAAACCAAGGATCTGCATTCTGCTTCAGTTCCCCATACTTCAGTTTACTCCAAAGTAAAAGAATATCGAAACAGACACTGTTATTTAAACCGCATTTTAATAGCTTTATTTAGTAGATACTACCACATAAAATACACACATTGTGTGCCTTAGGCCCAGAACAATGGCCACCAAGCAAGAGAAACCAAACACCTCTCCCCAAAATGCAGTCCAAAACGGCTGGTGGCAATGGTCCAGAACTCAAGAATTGCGTAAGTCACAGCAGCTTCTTGCTTACACCCTTCATGCTGTGCTCGCCAGCCTGTGCTCCCCCTGGAAAGGGGCAAAGAATAAAGCTCCTAATCCCAGGGGGTGTTTCCATAACTCCCCTCGCGCTGGGGGAGATGTTAAGCCGTGGCTCCCTCTTGGCAGTGCCTTGGCGTCCTCCCAATCCTCTCTCTGGTCAGATAGCACAAGGCTTTTTGTTCCACTTCTTCCACGTTCAGGCACAACAGGCTCTGTCGAGGTCCCGTCTGTGACACAAACTCCACTTCACCGCTCCGAAAATTTCTCAGCTGCAGGGGAGCTGAAGGGGAAGGACACAACCTGTAACAGCTCAGCAGCTGGCTCCTGCCACATTTCAGCAAACAAATGTAAAAGCTGCTGGGGGAGGGAAGGCCTCGCAGCAGCTGCTTAGCATCTGCTAGACCACAGAGGATGGGAAGATTAATGAATACAGGATTAAAGTATTTAGCCAGCATTCCTGCAGCTTAGAGGAAACAGACGTTTGCACGGTGGATTTGCTGTGAGCGATGAGTGTCTCACAGAGCTGTGGCACTGAGCTTTGTGTCTTTTCTCACCATCAACCTGGCCGTATGGTGTGACAGGCTCAAGAGAACAGCATCCTCTGGTGAGCTCAACAAGCAGCCCCTGGACTCACACCCAAGTGCTAGGTGTTAGCACGAGTGCCTTGAGGAGGACATCCCCTTAAAACAACTGCAGAGCTGTGGCATGACGTGCTCAGACGCCGCCACCCCTGAACTCAAAACTCTTCAGCACTGTACATCCTGTGGCCGTGGTGAGGATTTCCAGACCTCCTCTCGACCCTACCTGATGTCCTGACTAAGGCTGAAAGCTGCTTAGTTTGAAAGTTCACCCAGTAACTCTGGCTGGCCAGAACCTCTCCCATCCCAGGGCTGGGAAATTTGCTGTGAAAGTGAGGGCTTTTTTTAGGTATGAGGCAACCCGCAGAAATAAACCTGTTACCTCAGCTCTGGGGAATGGGAGAGTGGAAGGGGGTTGCTAATGAAACATGTTCTCAGCACCACCACATAAACACACACGCCTCTCACTGGCACCTTAGAACAATTACTATCCTGGCTGTTTAACCAACATATTTTCCCGGAACCACACATAAAATGTTAACAGAATAGTTCCAAGTTCCTCACCACAACTGCAAGGCTAATTCAGTGCTATTTTTAAGCTTCTGTGTAAAGTAAAACCAACCGTATACAAAAGTCACTTCATACAACAACGTTATACATTATTTCTGTATTTTTGTAACCATAGCTCTGCTGAGACATCTTTGTCCTATGCTGCAGAGCTCACAATTCCACAGAAATCCTCCAGCGATCCTGTTCTGCGGGCAGTGAAGGCAGTTCTCCTTCCCCAGCATGGTGAGCCGGCTCCTCCCTTCCTTCCCACACCCACCCAGCGTTACAAAAGCCAGCGGTGTTTGCTCACCAGGCTGCAGGATCTTGGAGGGCTTCCTGTCGAGGCTGAAATCCAGCAGGATGGGGCGGCAGATGAGAGGACTCCTGCAAAGGCTCCTTAGGTAGCAAGCGACGGGATCCTTGGGATCCTCGACACACTGAGGAAGGGAAGCGTGAGCTCAGTGAACGCGCTGAGGGAGGCAGGGAGCCACTAGAAGACCCGTGGCAAAGAGGAACCCAGTCCAGCTGAGGCTCAAGCCCCGCACGCTGCAGTCAGTGCCTGAACAAACCACTCACCCCCATCCCAGGAGCTTCCCCGTACTGAACGGACACTCTGCCCCTGCTCTGCACGCAGCTCTGCACGGCTTCCCAATCAGGAAGGCTCAAGCCCAGCATCGCCGCCACGTGCTGGTTCCTGCACAGCACCAGGGCCTCGCCCGTCCCATCCTCCACCAGCACCCTGTGGAGACAGCAGGCAGTGAGGGGTGTCACGTCCCAGAAAAGGGGTCTCAGCCAGGAGAGAGGAGTGTTTGCTCACAGCTAGGATGTGAGGAATCGCAGCTCTTAGCTGCACTGTCCTGTTTTCAGCCCATCCGTGATCTGCCTGTTCCCTCCCAGCTTGTGTAAATCTTTCCCTCCTGCCCTCCTCTCCCCGGACCCGATCCTTACCGTGCACTGGCTTGCCTCACTCCCGTGTGCGATGGGCAGGGCGGGCTGTGTCGGGTGCACTTCCCCTGAAGGAAGAGTAAAGCCACAGCTATGCACGGGTGGGCACAGGAGAGAAGGGGAATGGCCGCTGGTTCTCTTAATCCCCCTAATTAAGGATGCAAAGGATTAAAGGATTTCACTGAATTTCAAGTGGATGCCTTGGGAAAAGTCTGCATGGGATGAAAAAGCATGCTGCAAGGTGATGAACGCCAAAAGCAGCATACAGGGGAAAAGCAGAGCACTGAAACAGGATTCTCCCCCTGAATGCCCTCACTCTACCCCCACTCCTCGCTGTAAGTCAGAGGCATCCTTCCAATCAGCTGTCATTTTGGTCCCTTCCCAATCTGCACGTCTTTTTCAGACCCCGGAAAGAGAGGTGCTGGAATTGGGATAGGAACTCCTCCCTCCTACACGGTAGCATGGGATGGATGAGTAGAAAGTCTGCAATGTTCCTCCTGGATTATCCCCAGCAGCTTGAATACCTCTTTGAAGATGCTGCTGCACAGCGAGCAAACCCACTGCAGGGACAGGGTCAACACACAGGACAAGTGGCATAAAATCCGCGCCTGGGGCAGGTTTTGGAGGTGAAGTTGCAAGTTGGACAGAAACACTAGTGAGGGGGATGAGGCTTTTCCTGCAGGGCTAGAAGAAAAAGGAACACGACAAATGTGAAACAGAGAAACCTTTAATGGGACACTGAAAGGTGAGAGCAGACCCTAAACTCACCTGGAAGGAAGAACTAGGTGAGAAGCTGGCAGAGAGAGGACGGTCACACAGCTGGAGGCAATGTACGTGCAGTAAACATTGTGGAATCTGAAATATGAGAGGGTAG